GTCCTGCGCGTGCTGTGTTTGTTCTGCACGTCGACCGACGACGAAGATGCCCTCGTCCATCGCGTCGAGACACTGTTCCAACTGTACCGGCCCTTTCGGCACCTCCATGGACGAGTTGACCTGGACGCCGTCGACGCGTTCCTCACGGAGCAATCGGCGATCGTGGACGTTTTCACAGACAACTTGATGGCTCGGCGGAGGCACATCCACACGCAGACGCTGCACAACTCGGCCGAGTGACGGCCGTGCGTATCGCCAGGAGACGCTCCAGCGTCATCGTAGCGCAGCCAGCGCACGAAGCAACATGCGAAACATGTCTCCATCGATCTTGTTGAGCACAGACACCGTTGGCGGACGTGGCACTTCAGCCTGGAACCGTCTACCTGGTCCATGGCGACCTGTTGTCGTGGCAGTAATTCTCACACGAGGTTTGCGGAAGGACGTATACTGAATTCAAGTTGTTTGGAGAAGGCATGCACCATCTATGTATCGGAACAACCTAATCAGATGCAACGCCGAGTTCATTGAACTCGATCACTGCATACTATATTTAAGATCAATTGATTCGTATCGAGAAGGATATCATGCATGTGGTCGTCGTGCCATATGTATCCAGGTGCACCACGGGTGGTTCGATTGCATCAAGGTGGGGAGATGCCCCGGCTCGGACCCAAATCCCAAGCGACCTCGTCCATGCACAGGCAACTCGCGTGGGGCGTCTGGGCGACTGCTGTGTGCATGGGGGGTGCTACGATGGCCGACGACATCACGATCGGGCCACCTGTCGACCCTACCAGGACGCCGCGGCCGTTTCCAACCACCACCCTCACGCTGCCACCACCAACGTCTACATGGGTCCCCGCTCCCAGCACTACATCTTTTCCCCAAACAACGTCCCCCACTTCGACAAGCCCTCCCTCGCCATCATCAAATAAACCAACGCCGTCGCCGTCGACTTCGTCCCCAAATCCTTGGCCCCAGCCACCCTCGACCTCGTCATCACCTGATGCGCCATCGCCATCACGATCCAACGCAGAGTCGAAACCCATCCCATCCACAAGTGTACCCACGACGGTGTCTAGCACTGGGCCCTATCTGTCGTCCAGAGTGCCCGATGTCGTCGCGGCGGAGACTGTACCCACTCCAGACGTCGTCGTCGGGGATTCGCGTGCCGACCGTACACCAGCTTCGACCGCGACGTCGGCTCTCTCTTCTGACGACACGACGTCCAGCCTTGGCTCCTCGCTGATCGTCATTGTCGGCGTTTGCGTCGTTGGGAGCGTCGCCGTGTTCTTAGCTCTCCGGCGCCGCCGCCAAACGAACAAGAATCGCATGACGATGGTGTCTCCACCCGTCACTCGTGGCAGACACAACGGCCCGACAGACTGGTGCGACCGGTCGCCCCACCATCATATTAGTTTTGTCGATGCGATCCTGACCAAGCGCGGCCCCCCCGTCTCCCTCTATTCCCCCGGCAGCACCCGGGGCTTTGACTCGTTGGAGCAACTGAGTAAAGTGGCACCGCCCCCGTCCTACGTGACGAGTGTGGGGGCGACCGGGTTGGCCGTCACCACAACCTATGGAAAGGCCGTAAAGGACCCACCGTCGAACCATGAGCGCGTGGCACTAGAGCCCCCTCGCCGGCTGAACATGGCCGTGGCAGCCACCGTTCCATCGAGTGCGCCCTCTCACGTCGTCGAGGACGTTATTACACTCGGGCTGCCCCGCCGCGAGCGTATCGAAGTCCAGCAAGTCATGGCGTCGCCAGCATCGTCTTCGCAAACCACATTCTCGTTGTAATGAGAAACACCCGTTGATATCATCGTGTGGCTTCGTCCACTCAAAGGAGTCGAATGCATCGCATAGCGGGAAACAACCACGCGACCATCGTCGCAACGGCACGCGTAGACCTGGGACGGCTTGCTCCAAGTAGTTCTTCCCTGGGTCAAGAGTATTCATCGTGCTAACGGGCCGCCCACTCAACAACCTCGCTCGTTCGAGAGGGACAACGCGGCATGCTGCGCTGAAACATGTCCAAATTTGACGCCGCACGTTTTGATCGGTTTCCAGCACATGAAACGCATGAATTTTAGAAGAATGGGGATTTCTCAAAATCGTCCACCGAGTGGACAAATTTCTCACGATAGTGTTCGTGCGGTATTTTTATTCCAAATCGTTCACCGATGTATGATTGGCTAAAAATCTCACGAGCTTCGACAAAAGTCCGAAGGGGGGGGTTGTCCTCTCCATTCCAAGAATTTCAGCGGCCCCTAGCAAACACCGACCGCACCTGCCGTCCACGACACCACACCAAGCGCGACAGCTACCGAGCGGTATGAACCAGCGGCGTTCGTTCAATCCTCCTATACACCTGGTCCACCATGGCATGTCGCCGGGTTCTGAGACTTTTAGCCAATCATGCCGCGGTGGATGAATAAAATGACTCCCTCTCGCGAACGGTCCACTTGGACGTTTTTAAGAAATACTGTACAGTACTCGGTTTTGAAAATTTCTGCTCAGAGTTCACATGACGCTTGATAATGAAATTCCACCACCACGATATTCCAACCGCTCCATGGGAGCAAACGCCAAAAAAAAATATTTTCCAACACCAACTACCCCCTGTGTACAACAATATTGTTGAAAACGCAATGTTTGTCCCATGAACTTAGGCGGCATCATGAAGGACCGTTCGCGTTTGAAGTGCGCTGCAGGTCGTTCGTTGCCTGTGAAGATGTGGCCAATTTTGTAATCAAAACGGTCGGAATACAGTTTTGAGTTCCAGCCCGCTGCCGTGGGATTCGCACAGTCCGATGGCGACATGTGTGGACCGACCGAGTGTCGTGGCCTTGTCGAAGCCCCTCGGGCCTTCAACCCATGGAGACGGTATCGGCAGATGCGACGGGCATCGATGGGAAGCGGTGTACTGTTGCAACGACGACGATTGAAGATGTCTCGGTTCGCCTGATCCCCCGCGCTTCGATCGACAACTGCATGACACGAACGGGACGACCGCTTTTCGCGATACCTCCACACGCAGTGGGGGATTGGAACCCATGCGGCTGCTGGCTTGTTTACACCGAGCACGAGATTAGTGGGTGCAGCACCGACGATGACGCAACAGACGCCGTGAGCTAACGCGTCGTACAACAATTCTCTCGAGCTGTTTACACAAATTGAAATTGAAAAATCGCGTGGAGAAATATCGCGATGTTGTATACAATGTACAAGATGAAAAAGGCTTGGGATTTCCCCCGCCGTGGATTTCTCGTCGAGGGGTCGCCCGTGATTGGCTGCGGGACGATCTTGACTCTCCACGTTGCTATGTTGTAGAAAAGGAATTTGGTGCCGCGAGACCAGATGCGGGCACGGAATTGTCCTGGAACAGCGCCAGGGGAGGAAATTCACCGTGAAGACAGCGCTGGAAGGAGGCATCGACGATGCACGCCACCTTGCCGCGACCGCCGCCGCCTGCATTTTCGCTCCGCAACAACGCCAACGGCACGATGGTCAACGCTTCTGTCCAAGAGAGAATAGTCCCAACAATCACGCAAGGCGACTTTACACCGGCCGTGCCAGTGACGATGGAGACATCCGACAGCCAGTCGATGAACGTAGCGATTGTGTTGATCGCGATCGTTTTCGTGGCAGTGGCCGCGGGACTGTTCCTTGTTTTGTTCAGACGGCACCAGCCCGACCCAAGTCGCCCGCCAAGCGTGTGCCTCTCCAAGTCGCGATACGGAGGCGTCAATTTCATGAGCGTGTTTGACACATACGCCTGTGGTGCTCACATCATGCTGCACTCCCCAGAAGGCACGATGCGCGAGCCATCTATTGTCCTTGGTGCCGTCGGCGGCCGAGTGGACGAGTGGTGCAAATCGCACGAGTCGACTGCCACGGGCGAGTTCGACATTAACGTTGTGGAATCGTCAGATCACACATCGTTTAAGTTATAAGGAGGTCGTTGTGTCTCGACGTGTGCTGCTCCACGCGATAAGTCGCACGAACGGCGGGGAAGCAGGGTACGTGCCAGTGGTGCAAAGCGCACATCGAAAGCTTACACTTGCGTGGACGAGCGTGCGAAATGTCGTCGTTGGAAACGGGAACGGCGAAGTCTAAAGCACGTCATGCCTTTAGAAATTGTCTGCGTGTCCGCTCCGTGTGTGTGCAGCATTGTGGCAAGGATGTCACGTGAAAGAACGACGTCCTGTGCAGTGTGTGGCGCCCTTGGACGTTGATCCATCCGTCCGTCGTCGGCCTTGCTGAAAATTTGATCGCGCCGTTGGTATTGCGTTCGCGCTTTGTATACTTTGTGCTGGCGCATGTGATGGATAGCAGCGGAGGGTTGTCGACTTGTGGAGGGTGCTAGCTCATCTTCCTGTAGTCGACACTTCCCGTCCAGTATGTACCTCCGCGGGGTGATGCGATGGACCAAGGGCGAAGGTACCCCTGGACCATCAGGATCGAGAGAAGCGTGCTGGC